GAAACACTTATTACTAAAGAAAAATGTTGCCTTTCTTCTGAACTTTAGTTGACAGCTTCCATACAACAGGAAATGTGTTAAGGTTAAATCTGATACTTAATAGTTTGGCTGCCCCCTGCTTCTTCTTCTTCTTCTTTTCCTTTTTTTTTTTTTGGAAATGTGGATTTAACTCATTATAAAAAGATATTTCTCTTCAATGAGGGACATGGATTACAAAGCTTACCATCATCATAGTGAGATGTGACATTGCTTTAAGTGGACTCTATTTTTAGCTTTGCTATCGTTTCTAGGAACAATCTAACAGTAGGCACAGTAATCACCAAGGGTAAACAAGAGATATGGCCACATCAACACAGATACCCTGTTAGCAAGATGACAAGATTGATTCATCCCGCTAATTCAACTTATTGGTAATTGAACTTCACTGGTTAGCTCAGCATCCCTTCAGAGCTTACTATTTCTAATCTAAACTTTTGTCTCCAGTTTCGTATCTGTAATTTCATCTTATTTTTCCATCTATCTACATATAATTGACATTTTTATTACGTATGATGTAAGTAGTATTAGTGCATTAGAAACTCTGATGATCATGGTAATAGTCTCCCACTCAAGTACTAACCAGGCCCGACCCTGCTTAGCTTCTGAGATCAGATGAGATCGGGTGTGTTCAGGGTGGTATGGCCACAGACAATTATGGTAATAGTAAAAACAGACTTCCATTTATTAATTATTTCTTATGGGCTAAGTACTATATTTACTGTGTTACAATATCTCCTTTAATAATATGCCCACAAGTACTCTCTGAAAGAGGTATTATCATGATGCTGCCTTTACAGGAAGTAACTTTGACAGAATTTAGTAACTAGGTCAGTGTTAATCACTTATTGCTGGGCAGGGCTTGTCATCTTCTAATTTTGTGAAAGCAAGATTTCTACCAAAAAAAGCATTTCCCCCCGGTGACTGGAGCCTCAGTTTTTTCATATCTGTAATTGGAATACTCAAAACAAAATGTCAAGGGGGAAATAATGAGCTGGCAGATTAATAACAATAAGCAAATGATATATAGAGAGTAGTTTATTCTCAGTACATTACAAACACTAGGTAGATGGAAAGCGCTAAGTGATATAATGATGATGATAATGATGATGATGACATTGACAAAATGGAAATGACTCCTTTGGTTTCTGAGTGACCTTAGCTACAGAATTCATGGCTGATTGTGAGCTAGAACTGTCTCACATGTCCATATTATTTCAATGTAGACAAGTCATCAGACAAAAATGTGATGTACAATGAATCAAATCACAGAATATCAGGTGACAAAGATGAAAGCGGGCTCAATTTTCTGACATAGTTTGTTCAAGATTTAAATTGTGAAAGTGCTCTGCTCTCACTGGTCGTAGGCTAACTTTCAGCTTACAATTTCTGATTGGTCATGATTTGTTCCCTAATGTACTTGGGATGTTATCTAGTAAGAGAGTTCTTAATCCTTGTCCTCAGGCTTTCATAGCTCTTTGTCAACCACTTATTTTCCTTCTCCTTTAAGCATTATTAGTCCATCCTGGAAAACAGAAAAAAAAATGCCAGTTCCTACATATTACCATGCTTCCAACCTGACCTTCCTTTTCTTTCTTCTCTCTCACTGAGTCCACAAACTTTATACACAAACAGATAACAACTTTTCTGGACACAGTAGCCATTTTGCTCATTACTAGAAACAAAAAGGAACAAGTACTTCAATTTCCAAGCTTGTCTTTAACCTTTGTATTCCCTTTGCTTCATTTCCATTAACAGGATTATTTATGTCTTTGAATTGTTTTAATTGCTTGCTGAAATACCTTGTGATATTAGTCCAAAGTAAAATAATGATGCATACATAAAACTAGAAACAACTGTGGTTCTTTTTTCCAACTATCTATCTCAATTAATTCCAAATTCACATTTCCATTCAGTGTTTTTTGGCATCTGATTCCCTGTTTAACCTATGAACCACAACTGATTCCCTGTTTAACTCCATAAACCACAGAATCAGAACTAATATTCTTTTTTTAAGACTAGATCTCGGGGTCTACACTTCCATTTTATTCTGCTAAACTTCCTTTAAAATTAAGTCCATATACCTTTCAAAACTCTATAAATAGTAGTTTAATACCAAAACAGATTCATAGAAATGAATGTTGCATTTCTGTGTATTACCAGAGTCAATAACATCTGTAGTCTGCAAATATGTTTGATTAAGGTGTGCATGCAAGATCTCCAGCATTCATATGGGGTATTCAGGCACAATACTCACAGCCATCCCCCCAGGTTTGGTGATTTTCACTGTTCCCTTGTCCTTTTTTTTCTGCATGAACAATTGTTCACACTTCTCTATTCTGATCATAAAATCTGATTCATATTTAGGTCAATTCTTATTTAGAATTTTGCTATAATGCAATGGTTTCCAGAACAATTCTCACTATAAGATAAAACACTAATAAATTAATTTCCAAGAATAAACATATAAAATGAAAAGATAAATTTAAAATGACCCATATTCTGCAGTTATATGGGTTACTTATTAGTTGTATTTATTCCTCATTCCAATAATATCAGTTCTGTGACACTGGAAGGAATTTTCAGATAGTGCTAACATCTGGAAACTCAAACTGCTTTGTGAAATTAAAAAAAAAAGGTATCATGGTACAGATTCTCTAAAGAAATGGGTCTTTTTAGAAAAGGAATACTAGTTTTATGAGAAAGGCTCTTGTTTCGGAAACAACGATGTTATAGCAAATGAAATGTTATACACTGACATACATAAAATATGACACAGATGAAATAGCCACTTCTCCCATTTTCATATTGCATTGGTCACACTATATAGTGATAAACATTCCGTATTCTACAACTAATGGGCTTTGTAGAATATTGAGAACAGATATACACATAAAAGATTGAAAATAAGTTGTAGAAGATAAGAGGAAATGAAGTGGTTTTATTTAACCTAGAAATGTATACACTTGTTTTACATGCCCATTTGGGTTTTCTATATTGCCACTGAAGAAAAAAGTATGCAGAACTGGAAATAGGCAATAGTAATAAAGATTTAGATTAGATCAAAGAAAGGCCTACATGTTTGAGATTCTTAAATCAGTACCAATGGAAGGTTGTAAAATCACTGTTGAAAATGACTGGTTCAGATGGTTTTACTATTACACTATTTGAATACAAGGACATGAATTAGACAAAGTCTTTTCTAGGGTTATTTTTAAAGAAACACCAGTTTAAAATTAATATAATTATTAGCACATGGATTGATTTTCTTGGCATAAGCATAAAATGTAGCAAAATAGTCACAAAACAAATTATTTTATAGAGTGTTTGTTGAAACCACAATAAATCTTTACAAGGAGGCCTTTGCATTTCAGAGAATGGCAATAATGGTCAGTGAATTTGATTCTTCTTTTAAAATCATATTTCCCCACATATTAATAACACTGGTGACAGTTAATTTTTTTAAGAACTCATTTTTCTTCTCCAAAGTAGCGTTCTGTTGGAGTTGTTCATACTTCATCATGCATAGTTACTACTTAAGTGTAAGATAAAATGCTGAAAAGATACCTCAATGTTGAACCAAGTGTTTTGGTTCCAATGTCATCTCCTTTGGCCAACAGCATGACCTTGAACAGGTCACTTCTGAGTGTCATTCCTCAGCTTCCTTGTTGGCAAAGGCAGTGTCAGAAGAGGTGATGTCTTATGTTCTTTCCATCCCTGAAACTCTCTTCAAGGATTTTATTCAATTATGACTTACATAAGTTAGTATGTATCTCTAATACATTTTAAAAATATTCCTTTCCTCATATTTTAAGCTTTAACACAATTTAAAACGTAAGAGAATACTTAAAACTTGTCAGCAGAAGTTGTTATCACATAGAATTTAAGAATACCAATAGTCTTTCTGTTTATGATTAATTCACTTAAAAGTCCAACTATACACACAGTTATCCATTTTTTAATTTATATATTTTGTATTCGTGCAATAGATTTGGAAATATCCACAAATATCTGTTTCCTTCACAAAATATTTCATATTATTTTTATAAAATAACGATTTTCATTTTAAATATTAAGATACAACTTAAATATTAAGATACGTAATATAAGCCCAAATTATTTTGCTCAGTACTAAATTTTGCACATTTAAACATTTAAGATACCTTAAGAAGTCTGTAAATGAAATGGTTATTTTTTCATACATGAAGTATGAACACATGATCAGTTTTCACATGATTGTGGTGACTTCTGCCTGCCCTGAAATAACAGTAGACTATCACTGTCATTGAGATTTGCTTCAATTATTCAAAATATTCACATAAAATTTGGCATGAATCTAGAAAACAATATGAATGAATGCAATTTTACTGTTTAAATTTCTAAAAGTCATATTATTAGGGAGGAAATCATTTCTGAAATTCCATGTGTTTACTTTCTTTGAAATGAAAGTTCTAAGTTGTTAACTAACAGCTTGATGTATGATTGAAACAAATTTAAGCAAAAATTAAGGAATTCAACTTGGCAGTGTTAAGAGAGACACAAACTATTTTGTAATTCATTATTAAGAAAGAGTAACTTTTATGCTGTCTATTTTCCCTTTTGGCAAAGAAGTGGAGGGATGGGAAAAAAATCATTTACACCTAGCACGTATGTGTAAAAAAACGCACATTTGCTTCATTTTATGACATGTGTTTGGAAATAGGTCTCATAGATTGACTAGTTAATAAGTTAATGTTAAAAAGAGATCAAAATAAAATCCTACTTTGTGGAAGAATAAAGGGAGCCTATTTTAGAACTGACTGGCAGTTTTCTCTTTGCTAAACATTTTCCACTTCAAGTTTTAAGGCTTAGCACTAAAATCTAGGAAGGCACCAACTCGGGTTCAAGATGCTAACATTCATCTCAGCCCTTCTGCCTCTTCCAAGGTTACCTCAGTGTTAGAAAGAAAGTCCAGAATGTCTTACCTAGATGACGGGAAGCTGCAACACCAAGGCGTGACACTGTTCGACACTCAGGCTAGCAAAGCAGTCCGTCTCCGAGAGAGTTCCTCCAGAATCTAAGTTCACATTTTGTGGTTGAGATCATGGCTCTATTCTAAGCAGTTGCACGCAGAATGTGATTCTAACAAAAACACCCTCCGCAGCTGGAGGGAGCCTTAGCTAAAGCAGGATCCTGTCAAGGCGTTCCTGGTGACTTCTGTCTACTAAATTCAGACTGATGTTTTACGAAAGGGGCCTCCACAACCAGGCCCACATTGCCTGGAAAGTATTTCCTGCCTCTGAGAAGTGTGCATGTGAGAAAAGACTGCATGAGGGAGGGGCGTGGGGAGAGCAGAGCCGCTTGGGCGTTTCAGGAGTTCTGATTTTACACAGAACTGAAGTGAGTTTGTCAAAGCTCTTGAGGTGATTAGCTGGAGAGTCATAAAGTCCTAGCGCTTTTTCTATCCTACACTGCTTATGAAAGAGAGAGGGAGAGGGAGAGAGGGGGAGAGGGAGAGAGGGAGAGAGAGAGAGAGAGAGAAAGAGAGAGAGAGAAACAGTGCTCTGCCTGTCTACAACCTTTCCACTATATTAAATGTATATCCACAGTTTAGTCAAAATACTCTGGCCAGCTCTCATTTCAAAAGAGCTTTCAAGAGAACAGGATGAATGGAGAGCTTCTAGTGGCATAATTCTGTTTTAAGATCTTTGTGTTACGTCTCTTAAAATTTTAAATGCTACAGCATTACGTTCCGTGCCTGAGAAACCCTGCATGTAAAATCCCAAGAATCCAGTAAAACAGAACTTTTTCTTTAAGACCTCTCCAATCCCAACTATCTTACACAGAATTCAAGCAGTCTGGGTTATGACATACACAGTATTACCTCTGGTCAGAATCCTCCAAAGTTACACAAATCCAGGGCTGGAAAAGTAGAAGGCAGACTCCATCTTGATCATATTAGAGTCTTGCTGACACGGAACACTTGCAACTGCTTCCATCTAGTGCAACGCAGTCCCTGAATTATATCGCTAAAGGAGTTCACAGTGTCTGCATCCTTCATCCGACACGAATTTTGTGAACTCTCATCTGTTTATCTTTCTGCTTTCTTGTGCCTCCACTGAAGGACTTCCTCTTAGCTGCTCCAGCCTGGGAACTTGGACTACCATTTGGTTTTGATTAAAACCAGACAGCTAACTCTGGAGAATTTAGGGAATAAGCTAATGGAAACTGCAAGTATGGCTTTAATTAGTGCATCAATTAATAATAGATGTTAGCTTGTCTTTATAATAAGATGTCACAAATACAAATGCAGAGGAAGCACAAGTCATTTCAAGAAAGAGGTTACACTGATTCTCATTCCTTTATGATCCAGAGGTCTCCTTAGGGAGAGTGGAAAGAAAGAAGAGGGATGTGGCCTTGGAACATCCAGGTTATAGGGAGGCCAGTGGAGTGGTCTCATTGTTTATACCAGAGAGGCAGGAAACAGCATCTCTGAGTTTAATTATCTTGTTTGGTTGAAATTGCTCAGTAATGCCTCCCTCTACTTTATTTACAATCAATGGGTTCTATTGCTCTTTTGACATAAGCATTTTTCTCAGCAATTAGTGATCAAATTACTCTAATTATTGGGTCTGTATGTCAGTTGCAAATTTTTAGGACTTCTCAATAGTAGGAGATACTAATAATTCCAATTCCAATGTGATAAAGAGAATGCTAGAAAGAAATATAAGAAATACCAACCCTGTTCTCTGAAATTGTAAATTGTTCTGATTTTTCACTTTTATTCTACGTTGACTCTAAACTTTAAAAAGGCTGGCAGATACTTACATGATTGTCTCTGTAAGTGCTCTCTGGCAAAACTAACTGGGTGATGACTCAAGGAAGTATGTTACACAGGGAAATTTCAAAATGTTCATGGATAATGGATAAATATTTCAACCCCAAAACATTGATATCTATGGACAGCTTTTTCATAACATGCATTCCATGAACTCCTTTGAGGATTCATCATAGCTACTATTTATTTTCATACTGGATCACAAAAATCTCTCAAAATTAATATAAAAATTATTTTATAGACATGTTGCTAGCAAAAATAGCTTATTACTATGCTTAAGTTTGAACATGAGAAATATTCAAATCAAAACATACAGTGAAAGAAGTTTTTGGGTTTCTTTGTTAGTTTTTATTTATCTCAGAGGCAGACATACATACACACACACATAGAATATGTGTGAGAGAGAGGTGGGTAGGGTAGCGGAGGGAAAAAGAAGAGAGGAGGAAGGAGAGCAGAGGGCAAGAGAGGAGAGAGGAGGGAAGGGAGAGAAGAGGAGGGGGAGAGGAGAGAAGAAAAGGGAGTAGAGAAGAGGAGAAGAGAGGAAAGGAAAGGAGAAGAAAAGAGAAGAGGAGGGAGAAAGGAGAGGAAATGTGAGGAGAGGAGGGGAGAAAACAGGAGGGGAGCGGGAAGAGGAGAGGAGAAAAGAGAAGGGGAGAAAGGAGTGGATAGGTTAGGAGAGGGGGTAAGGGAGAAGAAAGATGAGGAGAGAAGAGGGGAGAAGAGAGCTAAGGACAAAATAGACTTCTCACTGTTAGTTCCCTCCTCAAATGCCCACATTGACCATATCCAGAAGACAGAATATGGTCCAGGTTTCCCACATGAGTGACTTGTCCTCACTGTCTCCCGGTGTCTTCACCAAAGGGCAGCTGAAGTCAGGAGCCAAAGCAGGGAATCAAATCCAGATACTCTAATGTGGGACCTGAGTGTCTTAGTCTTTATGTTAAACACTTGTGTCTCCATTAATTTAATCATAGAGTAGGAAGGAAGTATATTTTTACTAACTTCTTTAAATAATATTTTCACATTCACATCACTTCCCATGATGCCATAACCACTTACATCTTTCTAAATTTCTTGTTTCTGTTTTATTAAAAAAGTATTAGCAATTTTTCCACAGCTAAATGATGGGAAACGCCAAACTCCACAGTGGAAGCTATGTCTTCTATCTCTTAAATTACAGCTCATACATGTTTTTCTTTACATTCACCTCTTTTAACTAGGATTGAATTATTATGTGACAAACTCCAAGCCTTAGAATCCCTTTTAAAAATAGAGATAATTTGAGATAATTCACAATTGGAAACCAGGATTGAATTTATATACACAAGTATTTATGTTTATTTTCCTACGGTAAACACTGGAGCAGAAAGGAATGAGAACTGATATAGCCTCCTTCCTAAAATAACTTGTGTATCTTTGTCTTTATCTTTGTTTCCGCACTGGTCCTGCTCATGCAGTGACTGCTCAGTATTATATTAAAAACTTACTAATTTTACTTAGTAACGATCTCCTTCTGAATACCACAACTTCACAGTCTCACCTAGTCACTGTACAATTTGGCTTTGTATGCTGTTGACATTGCCCTGGAGAATCAAATATCTCTTTGCACATATTTATTAAATGCTTTCTTAGATATCCAGACCACCATTTATCCTTAACATATTCTTCTCTGGACAAAAAAACTACATATTTTCATTTGTATTAGAAGCATACTCCCTAAATCTTTAATCATTCTTATCTGCCTAACATCTTCAGTTTCCTAATTCCAAACAAATCTCAGAACTTGCAAGGATACACCAAAAATTTTGTGGAAAACAGAATTTCAAGAAAAGCTTATTTTAGTGCAGAAACTTTTAAAGTCAATGGATACAAGGCATCTTCAGAAAGTTAATGAAAAATGTATATTACAAAGAAATTACATGGATTTCAATATTTTTGCATCAAATTAAATTCTTATTTAACTCTATTTTTCCAGGATGTTTTATGAGATTATTTTCTAAATATTTGCAATATTTCAAGAACATCAGACATGGTTGGAAATGTTTTTCAACCCTATCTCTCATTTTTTTGGTGGGAACACTTTAAATGGCTTATTTCCCTTCATGAAATGAACTGCTACAATATGGTGAAGAGGCAGTTAAAGACTTGAAAACCAAGTGTCAGGAAAGATAGGAGTCTATTGATGGCAAGTGTCATATTTATTGTTTGCTATTTTTAACACACAACTGTCCTTTTTGATTTTACATTACTCTTTGAAGAGTTCTTTTTATCAATTTATATATTATCGACATATCTATTTATCAAACTTCCAGGAAAAAAGTATACACTTTGGACAATTATTGTGATGGAACAATTTTATATTTTGTGTAGAGATTAGTGTAAATGGACTAAATAATATTTTGATGGTTAACTGTACTTCTAAATATTATTTCTAAGTTTACTAACCAAATGAATATTAGCTATGAAAGCTTCTATAGTCACTTCCCAATCATTTTCAGGAAATCTGAATCTGCCGTCTACTATAGAAGTAGTAGAATTTTAGTCCAATAAGTTTTTAACTATAGAAAGCAAGACCTATTTTTTTAAATAGTGTTTTATTCTTCAGTGAATTCAGTAGCAAGTTCAACATTTGTAATATTATAAAGGAGAAGTTTTTTTTTTCCATTTTGGTGAATAGATAGCTTTTAATGTTAATGAACTTGAATTTAATGTATACAGAAGAAATGCCTTTTATGCAGTTTAAAAGAGTCCACATGTGTGCAGTTAGTGTCACAAATATAACAGATATGTCCATGCATGAAGCAAAACACACAATCTTATAGCTAAATAATCTTCATTGCACTGTTAATTTTCTAAACAATTTTTTCAAAATTTTAATACTCCACTTTTGCTAACCATTTGGTATTCATCTGCAAGTAGTTATTAAAGGAACACACTTATATTTTATGTTAACAAAAGTAATAAAATCATATGAGCTCTCCAAAATCAATGATACCTTTCTGAAATACTATATTCACTTCTCCCCTTACTTGAAAATTATTATAATCTAAGAATAGCAATGTAAAAATCATCTTGATAAATGTATAGATCCTTTGAAAATTAAATCCATCCATTACATACAACGTATTATAATACTCCGATATCACATATTATACTAAGTACATACGGTTTCAGAAGCTTGTGAGTCTCCCTGGCTGTGCAATAGGATTAGCATTTCCTCAGAAACTGGGAGAGTCCAAATGGTGCAAGGCTTGGTTTGGAGAAGTGAGCTAGGCTCTCCCTCTGTCATGTAGCAATAGGTTTAAAGTGAGAACTTAAAACTAAGTGCCCACTGAAGCCACATGCCACTCCATAGGCTCCCTGATTAAACTTAACATCAGTATGACCTGAAATTTTTATTTCATGGAAAAAACAAGTTTCTATATCTTTAGGTTTTCAGAAGTGTTCTGTTTTTGTTTGGCTTAGATTCCATATTCTCCAGAGCTTATC